TTTTTTCCCTTTTTTTTTTTTTTTTTTTTTTTTTTTTAATGTCTTGCTCTTTCCCCAACTGCAAAGCCAACTTCTACTTTCTGGAGGGAGCGCTTGACGCCCTGCTCTGCGGGAACAGCAGCGATGCTGGGTGAGTGCAGCTCGTGCTGGCGGCTGAGCTCCCCTCTGGCTCCTTGGGAGGGGAAGAGGCAGCCAGCGCAGCCTGTGGGACCACTGATGCTTGGGATGGGACAGGATTGGGGCTGGGATCGTGGCTTTGCAGGTGAATGGTCCAGGCATCCCAACTGTATCAGCTTGGGGGGGCGGGGATCGGGTCTGGGCATCCCAACTGTATCAGCTTGGGCCGGGGGTGGTCTGCTGAAGCATCTCAGCACCTCCAGGGACCGAGCGTTTCGCTGCGGGTGCAGGAGGGGCAGCGCCGGGGGCTCATGCCAGCTGCCCCCACGGCTCCTTTGGTAGGAAGTGCCCTGAAGGGTACCAGTGCATGAAGGCGGGGAGGAACCCAAACTACGGCTACACCAGCTACGACACCTTCAGCTGGGCTTTCCTGGCCCTCTTCCGCCTCATGACGCAGGACTTCTGGGAGAACCTCTTCCAGCTGGTAGGCACCAAATTTTTATCCTTCTGCAAATGTTCCTCTCGTTTCGATGCAGCCCCTGGTCTAGGACGGGTAAAAGTCACTTGACTGGAAACTTATGGGACCTTGTCCTGTGGTTTATGGCTCTAACCAGGATCAGCAGAGATGGGGCATGGTCCCATCCAGTTCCCCAACCTAAGCAGCGTAGGGTATTTTCCAGGGCAAAGCCCAGGTGTGCTTCAGCAATGCTGCCAGCTGTATCATGGAAATCAGGGATTTATATGAGTATCTCGTACATCTCTGGCTTGAGCTGAGGGGGAAGGTAAGGGGGAAAAGCTAGGTCACTTGTACCCTGCATTGAGTCATCCTCTAGGGAGAAGTTGCAGATACCATAAAATCCCAGCTGACCCCGGGTCCAGATAGATAAAAGCAAGCCTGTGTCTAAAGGCTACATGTGTCCTCTGGAAATGATTATGCCCAAATCTGGAGTTAGAAGAGGACCACTCTTGGCCCAAGGGTGAGACCTGAGAAGTTGGGGCTGACAGGCATCAGCCCCTGTCATAGAAAAGCGAGTCTCTGATGAAATACTGGTCCCATCTCCATAGACGCTTGCAGCCCTTGGGCTGCCAGATAGCAGAGAGTAGCATGGCTGGGTTTGCCGAGACTTCTGGCTGTTTCACAAAAGTCCTAACCCAGTGCCATGGACTGCAGGAAGGTCAACTGGACAATGACCAGCCCTTGGGGAAGATGGGAGCAAAATATTGTACTCCTACCACAAATGGGAGGGTGCCCTGGTGTAAGACCTTTCATTGAAAGCATCGCCAAACCGGTATCGTGCCAAGGTGGTGTGACAGCCCGTGCCTCCTCTTTCCACAGACGCTGCGTGCAGCAGGGAAAACGTACATGATCTTCTTCGTGGTGGTTATATTTCTTGGTTCCTTCTACCTCATCAACCTCATTCTCGCAGTGGTGGCCATGGCGTATGCAGAACAAAATGACGCCACGATGCTGGAGGAGCAGCAGAAGGAGGAGGAATTTCAGCAGCTCATGGAGCAGCTGAAGAAGCATCAAGAGGAGCAAGAGAAGATGGTTAGTGGAAAGTGTGGAGGCCAAAATGAGGGACCTTAGGAATAGGGGGAGAAAAGCCTCTATTTATGGTGGTGCCTCTATTTATGTAGAATCCAAGAATAAGCCCCATTCAGTCCATAGTAAGCAAAGATAATAACTGAGTAACTATTTTGGGGGTCACAGCTGAATCAAAAATTTGAGATACTATCCTGGGTGGGGAAAAAGAAAAAGGCTGAAAAGATTTAATTTCCAAATCCAAAATCCAGCGCAGGGAGCACTGGGAGGCAGCAGAGAGGTGCAGCACAGAGGTGCAGTATTGCTTGAAAGGAGGAGGTGGGAAACAAGGCATAAAAGGCACCAGAACTAACAATATATCTTCCCGCAGCACATCAAGAGCAGGAAACCTGGCAGAGAGCCTGCACGGGCAGATTATGGTCAGGGTACAAAAGAAGCACTCAAGGAAGGTAGGGCAGTTGCAGCAAAGCTAAATGCATTAGCAAACCATTTGCTTTTGGCCAAGACTGGAAACAGAAGAGGGCTTGAGAGAACCTGTGTCTCACCCAGGGAAGTCCTGGTGTCCTTGCAGGCCTCGCTGCTGTCCCCCAGCACACCAGCAGATATACACGTCTGATGCTGCAGGGAGTTTGCAGTCGAACGAGCTGATGTCAAAATGGGTGGTCTCTGAACCTGCCTGATTTCTATGATTCTATGAAATAGGTAGAATAGAATACCCTCAGCAGGTTTGCAGATGACACCAA